CATCTTGTGGTTTCTCTCCATTTCTTTCATAGTTTCTTTTAGTTTGGCAAACGTTGGTCGATCAGTAGGGGTCTGTTCCCAACACTGCAGCATAATCTAGTAACTAACAAACAGAATCATCAGTAGCCACAAAAAGAAAAAGTTCCAAATATTATTAAATCAGTCAATAGATCAACGGACTAATAATATGTGTGTAGTTTGGTACTTCTTCACTGTAACTCCCAGCTGGCGGTAGGTATTCCATGCAGAACCGTGACACGTTTGCAATTATTATCAATAGTAGCACATAGCATTGCTAGGCCAGTGAAGTAATCTCAAATCTTAAGAATACATCAGCGAAAACAGACGAAAACTGTCTATACCGTGGAACAATTAATTATTCCGATCAACGACTAACCACAACTACATGTATATGAAAGATTTCGACAACATTGTAAGAGAGTGTCTCGGGTAGTATGGGTAAACATTACGCACACATACATTTGCGCACACTAACACAGACACGGACACAGACAAGCAGTAACCAGGTGTTAAATACAGTTTCAATACCACTGTTTAGTTATTGCTTTTGGCACTTATAAAAATAAACGAATGTACTTGTAAATGTAAAAGGTATTCTCGTAGCAATCCTTACGCAAAGATATTATCAACTCAAGAATGGTTAAAATGTGTTTACAGTTTGTTATCCACATGTTTAGGCTTTGGCATTCTGAATCCTTCCTAAAGTTTCCTGGCAATTTGTCGAGCGTTTACTCCTGGATATGGAAATCCACCTGAATATGACAATGGAGCAACATTATGGCTTTAAGCGTATATCATGTAATAAATTTATAGTTTGCATGATGTGTGACTTAACCTACCTATGGTTAGAATCTCGTACACTAGGACACCATAGCTCCAACTGAGAGAAAGGATAAGAGAACAACATTATGCTAGTAACTTTTTATAACAGTAGAAATGGGAGGGATGGTTCCTAGGTTGAGTTTAGAAGCGAAAGGTAGAAACAGGGTTCAACCGTTACTCTCTGTCTTTGTACTTCCCATTCTTAGATGTCTTACACACACAAAAAAAATCTCTTTATTGAAAGGTTGTACGGTATTTGGCATTGCTTAGCAAACACAAGTCGCTCTTTCCCACGCAGTAAGTTTCTTCACGATGACTGAACAAGTCATTGCATATAATCACTATATCATACATCGTTATCACCAAGTTATTTATAGTACTTACACGTCACCTTGTGTTGTGTATGTTCAATATAACAAAGCTTCATAAGCCGTCCACTTAACAGGCAACCGGCCCTGACAGATGGCAATAACAACAACAACAACAACAACAACAACAACAGCAATAATAATAATAATAATGCTAATAATTTTTTTTATTTAAAATAGAAAAAAAATTGTCCTAAAAAATAAAATACATCAATGCGGAATATTCATAGATTCACAGAACGAAACGTTGTGCTACGAAATATTAAACTCCTGGGAGCTGAGAGTC